TTTTTTTTTTTTTTCAATGGAGCTCCCTGACAATCATTTGTGTTGATGGCAGAAACGCTGACAACAACAGGTATCTGATGTGTGTCCTTACACTGCTGGGTGCTGGGCACCCTGTGAGGAGAGAATATGGCACAAGTTGAGCTATAGGCACTCTGCTGTGCCAAGAACATTTTATTCTGTTATCAAACCTAATTAAACATTAAAAGCAACTGTGTACTCAAAAACGTCCCCAGCTGTGGAGCACAACTGATTGGCAATCTGTTCTCTTGTGTGCGCAGGGGTGGCAGGCAAAAAAATAATCAAACAAACCATGTCAATGTGCAGAGCAAGGCCTGAAAAACAAATCTGTTAGACATGGCAGAGGCAGTCCATGTCTGTGTGGACACACATAAGCAAACACCACCACTCTAGTGGTCAAGTGTTCTTTTCTATGTTCATATCTTTCATTCCACTTTTTGCCCGCCTCCTAAACAAGCAGCACGTGTCGTACTTGTGGAAYGAGTTCCATTTCAGCTGTATGGAGCAGGTGTGTGGTGGTCGAAGGCACCTCTTGCAGCCATGTGTCCTGGTGCAGCCCCTCACTGCTCCAGCTCACGCAGGGCCCTCAGCAGCAAACACAGCCCAGCAGATGGAACCCAGCTCCAAGCAGGGGCACAACAGCAGCTCAAGTCCCTGTCGCACTCAAGCCATGGACTCTGGTAAGTTGTTAGCACAGACATACACTGTGCTGTCAGCCACGTCACATGCACAACCCTGCCAAGAGCAAAGAGACGTTCCTCCCACAGAGCAAGTGAAGAMTACCTCTAACTTGAGGCTTCATCCACCCCACCTGCGATGTAGTTTGGGGCAGTGGGCATCTCCTGACCTGCTGCCTTCAAGTGTATGATGCAGAACTCCTTCAATCATWCTTGGGGCCTGTACGAGGCTGTTCTCTGGTGTTACTGACTTTGCTACTGCCAGTTTTGGGAAGATTGTTTTCCTGAGAAACTGGGAGAGGCTCATGGGCAGCTTGGAAGGTYGGTCCATCAGAGTCCATGTAAAGAAAATGTATTCTATTTTAAGGGTTTCTTGGGTTTTTTTGTTTGTTTAACCTTACAACAATAAACATTAGATTTATTATGAATTTAACRGAGTGGATTTAACATTTTTAACAGTGGATGCCATTTTTAATAGTGGCATACTGGGAAGCCCTGCCTGTGTGCTCATGTAAGGAAGTGTTTGGGTATCTTTGCAGCAGGAACTAAAGAGCTGCAGTTACAACTTCAGCTTACACTTACAACTACAGCGTCCTTCTGAGCCATAAATCTGCCCTTGCTGTGCCTTTTGAGACAGCTCAGTCCTGTGCTGATGCTGCTGCTGCTGCCAGCAGGTAGCAGTTTCTGCACCAATTCTCTTGGTACATGAGTCATGAAACATGTGCTCTGGTGAGTATGAACTCATGGAAAAAACATACTGGGGCGTCTAAGGAAAAAGCCCTTTCTAGTAAGCAGTGGGGATCAAATGATCAAAAAAACTTGCTTTTACTGTTTGAAAGTTTATGCTTGATAAGTAGCTCCTGGGCCAGAGCATYCTGGTACTGTGTTTCCATCTCAGCCCTGCTGCAGGGGCTCCTGGCCCCCTCTTCACCAGGGAGCTGTGCTTCTGTCATACACATGAAGAATATCCCATTTATCCGCAGAACAGCCCTGGGTGGGGACCATACAGGTGAAATAAATACGTTTGCAGTGGTATACGGCACACACAGCACTGCTGCATTTCTCACACAGAACCATCTGTACCAGGCTGTGCAAACCAAAGGAGTGCAGTTAAGCTGCTATTGCTGTACTAAGTAGCCTCATCACTCTCCTCACTGTTAGATACCTGAAAACCCAAAATACTGGGTAGTTACATCTTGACAATCCTGATGTGGTTTTCTTTCCACCAATATTTCAATGTACTTTCTTAATTATAACAACCAGCAGTAAAATGTATATACTGCAAAAAGACTGACACTTCTGCAACTAAGAGCACAAGAACTGTGAGGGAATTATAAAAGTTGAACTTCATTTCATGGTTTGGTGTGGCAATCCTACATCTGATTTTAAGTTTTCTCAGTAAATCAGATATTAAAGAAAGCCAGCTGCTTCTGTTAAATAAACTCCATTGTCTAAGMCTTAGAGGGAGCAAACCAGCCAGGTGGAGTTATTGATCTGTGAATATCAGCTGGCCTGGCCTCCCAGGCAGAGCACTCCTGTTCCTTGTAATTGCCAGCGTCTACAAGRGAGCAATGCCTGAACCAGCGGGCAGGGAGACCTGCTGCTCTGCTGGGTTTTGCTTCTCTGAGCTGCAAACAGTTTATTACCAGCAAAGTAGGGAATCTGTCAGTGTAAGAACTCCCTGTGGAAACTTTAGCTCAGTTGAAGACAATGGCAAAAATCCCACGACTTGTGTTGTGGTGTGTGTGTGTTATATCAGACGTGACACAATGCAGGAGGGAGTTCTTGTYTCACTTCATCGACGGAACAATCTGAAACTGCTTCAGAGATTTGCCTCCTGAACGGGATGCTACCTGCTTTTTTTTGCAATTTCCTTCTTTGTCTCCAGCGTTAAGAAATCAATGAAATTATACTTTGACATCCACAAGGTAACAGTTTTCAGGTTTTAAAATTGATTGGTTTATTGGTGAGGAAYGTAAAGATTATTCTTTTATCTCTGSTCTGGTTTAAGCCTGATGRAAAAAACCCAAACCCAAACAAATACAAAACCCCAAACCACCTTGTGAAATTGATTCAAAAATTATGCTAAGAAGTGTTTTTATTTTGGGATGGGAGACTTAAGCTTTGAGTTTCTTTGAAGTGGTAGCTGTACTGGGTTTATATTGCTTTGTTTTGCTTGTTTGGATCCTGTATGTTAATTTGTGTTGYAATACTTTTAAGTATAAGCAAACATTTTGRAATATGAAGCTTGGATATTAATATRGTTTGGACTTGGGTGATTTGTTTGCAAATCACTCTGTTCTGACCTGTTTTTTWAAATTCTCATTTGCAGTTGGATTGCAGCTTCTAAAAATGGCAATTCAAGTGTGTGTTTTAGGGCACCATCTTCTGGCAGCCAGCACACACTGTATTTGAATGGCTGCCCTCCCTAGACACAACTATGTAAAATATTTCTGACTAACACYACTCTGCAGGCTTACAGGTGATTTCTCATTCTAAATCTGCAATAAAACACTATTTAACATTTTTTACATTCTTCTTAGTCACTGGAACTGCAGCTATTCACTGTGCTGCACAAACATAACTTGGGACAGACCCTGTAAAATTCCAGTCACAACAGGCGCTTTGTGAACATGCTGGGGTAGACAGACAACATCTGTCCAAGCACTTATGATTAATGCACCATGTATGTATCTTATTTCCTTTATAGCTTCATTTTCCACTTCTCTTACATATTTCAGATAATCACACTTCTGTCCAGCGCAGTTTATTGGCTCATACTTTCAAGGCTGCACAGGGCACTGGCCATAASTCCTTGCACTCACAGAACACAGTCACTGTATATTCCGATCCAATCAGTCAGCAAC